GCTCCTCTCTAGATTTATTAATCATGTCTTGCACTAGGAGCACAATTTCTCCTGTTATCTGAGAAATTATTTCTGATTTCATTTTTACCAGATCCCCTTTTGTTGCCAGTTCAGTGGGTCCAGGTGATTGAGTATCAGAATGTTCCATTTCATTTCCCTTTTGGGTTGCTATAGGTGATCTGGAAGTCTGGTTTTGAGACTTATTTACATGTTTTCTCATTTCGACTGAGGGGCCAGGGAGGGGTGCTGTTGGTGCCTGGGCAGCTCACTTCCTCTGAGCTGGGAGAGGTGGGCCAGGGGCCAGGAGCGGTGGTAGGGATGGTGGCCCAAAAGTCCCTTCCTCTGGGCCAGTAGCGGCGGGAGGGTTGGTGGCTGGGAAGCCCCTTCCTCTGGACCAACAGCAGTGAGATGGCGGCTCAGAGGCCCCTACCTATGGGCTGGGTGTGGCACGAGGGATGGTGGCCCAGAAGCCCCTTCCTCTGGACCAGGAGCAGTGGGACAGCGGCTCAGAGGCCCCTACCTCTGGGCCAGGAGCAGCTTGAGGGATGATGACCAGGAAGCCCCTTCCTCTGGGCCAGGAGCGGCAGGACAGAAGGCGGCCCAAAAGCCCTTTCCCCTTTTAACTTTTTAAAATTTTGAAACAGGGTGTCTGTTATGGTTTAGATCTAAAACACCCCCCTTCCCACCTGTCCTTGGAAGGTGACCTCTCATGGAGACACTGTTCTCACCAGTGGGCCTGCCCAGGGTGGAGCACATAGTGTGCCATTAGGAGAGGCCTAGGTGGGGCAGTCAGTAGAGGGGTGACTGGAAAGGTGAATTCTTGTCTAAGCCCCTCCCTTCTCTCTGTGCTATCCCTGATGCCACGGGGAGCGCAGTCTTCTGCCTCCCTGTCCTGCTTTGCTGTTTCTGGCCTGGAGTCAGCCAACCACAAATGGAATCCTCTGAAAACTGTGAGCCAAAATAAACCTCACCTGCTTTAAGCTGTGGGTGTCAGGTATTGTGTCCCAGCCACGAGAAAGGGACTAATACAGCCTCCCTAAATCACTAAGTCACCCACCTGGGCTCAAACTTGCCATCCTCCTGGCTCAGCATCCCATACTGTGAACTACAGTCCTAATATAGATCGTGCCTTTGGAGCTGGGGGACTACACCCTTCCACTCACCTGAACATGGGCCAGTGCCCCATCTTTGTCCTAAGACCAATTTCCTGGAGGCAGAGTTAAGAATAAAAAGATCTTTGTGAAATTCCAAAATTCCATGGCCTGACTTCCAATAACCTTTTCTTCACTTGGAGCTCACTGAGGGCTCCTGCACACAGACTGGACCTTGCGCCTCCATTGTAACAGAGTGAATTATGGGAAAGGACATGCATAGTAGACACAGAGGCTATGACTTAGCTGTCAGTCATGCTCTGGAGGACCCAATGGGAGGTGCCGCAGGCCTAGAGCAACACTTCGACTCCTTCAGCTCTTGGGCTGTTCCTTTCTACCAGTGCACACCTGCTCACTCTGAGATACCTTTGCCTTGAGTATCATTAAACTTAGCTGCTTTTTCCTTAACCTTGTGTACCATGTCCAATTCTTTGTCATGAACAAGAACCTGAAATCCTGTCCTGGGATCCCATCACCCACAGGCCACTACAACTGGCTAGAATTGTGACTTTTAGTCATTGCCCAAAGTATAGTTAGGTTAGGTTTGGTTTTTGTTTTTCATTTTTCCTATTATCTTAATGTAGGCCCTCTGTTACACTTGTGTTGTAACTGGACCTGGTAACATTTTTGCAATAACAGGAAGAAAAGCTTGAAATAAGGAAAGGAACAGACTTACAGCCCTCCCTCTGTATTGTGTTTTGTACCATTTATTTATTTATTTATTTATTTATTTATTTATTTATTTATTTGGTACTGAGGATTGAACTCAGGACCTTCTGCTTGCGAAGCAGGCAGCAGCACCACCACTGAGCTAAATCCCCGACCCTGTACCTTTATTTTTTAAGCCAGCAAGAATGCGGCTGTAAGTCCAGAGCCACCATGAACCTTACAGCAGCCCACTGAGTTTCCCCCATTAATTAAAGCCCCAGACATGTGGCTAGTTGGTGGTCACAGTGTACTGAGCCTGTGGGATGCTGTGACTTACCTGCTGCAGCCTCTTTGTTTGGAAATAACTTGTTGTCAACGGCCAAGCTGATGTCATAGAACACCTCATCCTCATTTCGGTCAGCGTCAAACTGGAGGAAATCAGGACAGGTAAGTTTGGAACATAGAATACAAAAATGAGGTAATTCTGAAATATAAAGACCAAGATTCACACAATTATATCTATAAATAAGTCCAACAGCAGGACTTAAACATTTGAGTCTTCAATTGACATGTATGGGGGTTTTAAAGCCCAGATCTCCCAGTACTCAACAGGCTGAGGCAGGAAGATCACTTCGAGTTTAAGGTCAGTCTGGGATCTCATATGATATAGGGAAGGCCACTAGGAAGTAAATGCATGATCACTCATTTTATTTATTTGAGACAGGACCTCAGTATTCCAGGCTGGCCTTGAACTCAGTAAATAGCCTAGGCTGGCCTCAAATTACAGCAGTCCTCCTGACTTAGCCTCCTGAGTGCTGTAATTACAATGCCACTCCACCTGGCCACATATCTTTGAGCTTTGTTCTCAAATGCAGCTCCTTGGAAAGTTTTAGGTCTTGCTATAAGATTTGTTAGGCTGGACCAGGGAAGTGTTTAAGGTTAAGTCTTCCCTGTGGTTGCAGCAGCATTCATCTGAGTAACCCGCCCAATGCCTTGGGGATGAAGAGGTTTCCAGTCTTCCCAGAGGACACAGGTTCATTCCCAGCCTGGCATGGGTATAGGCTCTGTCACCACAGATCTTTTCAGGTGGTTCTATTCTTGGGCTCCCGTGGTTTTCATGTGTGTGTGCACTGATTAGGACTGCTATCCTGAAGGGGTCTCCATGTGCTCCCAGAGCTCTTTGTGCTGCTCATCTCTGGTCCTTTTTTTTTTTTTTTTTTTAAATTTGACTTAATCATTTAATACCTTCCCATAAAGAAAATCTTTCTCTCTTTTTATATGCTTATTTGCTGC